ATTTTGAATGTGATAGCCAGCATCGAGAATTGCATCTAATAACCTGCGCAGCTCAGTTTTTAAAATTGATTTTTTAAAAATTTAACTGCTAGATCTTACAAAAATCTTCTAGACCAGTGTTTCTCAACCTTAGCAACTTGAAGATGTCTGGACTTCAACTCCCAGAATTCCCCAGCCAGCAAATGCTGGCTGGGGAATTCTGGGAGTTGAAGTCCGGACATCTTCAAGTTGCCACGGTTGAGAAACACTGGTCTAGAAGATTTTTGTAAGATCTAGCAGTTAAATTTTTAAAAAATCAATTTTAAAAACTGAGCTGCGCAGGTTATTAGATGCAATTCTCGATGCTGGCTATCACATTCAAAATCTTCCATGGCACAGGATCTAGCAGCTGTCTAAGAGATCCCTTATTTCAAACTGCCTCTTCCTCACTGATACAATCAAGCAGAATGGATGAACTCAGGATCCTATATATTAAACAATGACATCTAATTTCTGAAACAGTATCACCCTAGAGATTTGTATGGCTTCCATCCTTATGAAATTTAGAAATTATTTTTTATTTTCTCCTTCAACGCCTTTGGATAGGGCAGTTGTCCTTTAGTTATATATTTGGTTTCTATTTGGTCCATTGTCTCTGGTTGGCTGTGACGTTCTGTTCTCCAGAAACATCAAGGCATTATGTGGCCTCAGAGTTTGATAAAAAAAAATAGCTAAAATAATTTGACAAAGTGTTCTTAAACTATCTAAGAGGTTTCTGGGTCTTTTAGATCATTTGAGATTGATATTCTGGGTCTTACAAATCACTTGAGAGCCAACATCCCATCAAAGTTCAAGCAATATCAAATCTCATAAGTGTGATTTCAGTATACCTAAAATCAAACAAGATCTCAGAGGTAAGATAACAAGGAAGTGGCAATATTTGCTGATTTTGAAAGGTTTTGGCCATTTAATATAATTTTGTTTACAATTTCTTGGGACTTGAACTCTTGCAGGAAAATCCAATTATCACAAAATCTTCATAAAACATTTTGTAATAATTATTAGAAAGGAAAGCATCCTTTGGCTTCTCTGTTCTGCTGGGTTTATTTTAAGAAATTTAAAATGCACATATTTTTGTAGATTTGCAGCTACTTTTTCATGTTGGAAGGATGTCTTGTTAAAACTCAGTATTAATTTCAGTACATTGAAATCACATTTGAAATCACAGGGGGAAAAATACAGCATGTCAAATTTTACCTGACAACTGTTATTTGTATGCATTCCCAACAAAGGGACTTTTCTTACATTAACAGGAAGTTAAAATCATATGTAATAATTTATAAGAGAATATTTAGCAGAAGTTTATAGTTCCCAATAATTATTTTAATAGTGGGATGTTGACCAAAATCTACTTCTTAAAATGTTGTGTCCTAATTTTTTTGGGGGGTTCAGTGAGAAACAGTGGCGAAAACAGTGAAGTCACTTTCGAGAAAACAGAACACTTGTTTATTGGAAATTGAAAGAAGTACTGCGTCTGAAGCTCCAGTTACAGATAGTAAGGATTAACTCAGCTGGAATGTAAAACCAGTATTGTCAGAACTGGTGGGATTTATTATTCTTGTAGACCAGTTCTAAATTTAACTAATTTTGAAACACAACTCTGCTTTCATAAAATTCATCACCGAAGGGTTAAAATTTTGAAACTGATGAATACAATTCATGGCTAGATATGTCCTTTAATTTAAAAGATCATTTGCATGTCACAAAGAGGCAAATTAACTCCCAGGTGACAGCTGTTTCACTGAGTTCATTCTTGGCATTGGCTACCAGACTGGGGAAAACTAATCTAGTTATAAAAGGATTTTTTTTAAAGCGTACTTTAGCCTTGGAGTAAAGAACTTGGAAAAACGCAATAACAGTGTACTTAAAATGGACTATGTATTTGTTAGGTAATGCAAGGTAAATATCAGAGATATGGAATTTTAAGCCCAAGTAGACATGGATCACTTGATCTATCCACTGTACTTTTACATATACTGTGATACTATATTAAATATGCTCTTTATTGCAACCATGTAAAATAATAGAAAAATCTCTATTCCTATATTTTGTCCTAACAATGCTATAGTTAAATTTAAAAATATTGGAAGAAAAATACAGGCTCTCCCATTTTGAATGGAAAGGAATGAACTATTAAAATGTTAAAGAGTTCTTTCTTATTACTGGCACAGATGGCATTAGCAGGTATCTATAATAACTTTGAAAGATGTATTATACTTTCTACAATTTCCTTCAGTATTCTGACATTCTGGGTTCATACATTGTATGAAGCCATAATATAGTTCGAATTATAGAAATGTGGAGTTACAAAAATAATGCAATCCAGCTCTCTGCAATATTCTGGAAAACCTGTTTAACAATCCTTGAGAAGTAGCTATCCAGCTTTTTAAAAAACACACCTAATTCTAGAAATGGAGAATCCACAACCTCTGTCAGTACCTAGGAAATCTAGGTAGCTTCAATTTATATCCAATCAATTCTAGTTTCAGTGGAAAATAGTTTCTAACCATCTTCCCTTTAGTATCCTTTTAGTATATTGATATTATGCATCTTTTATGTGTTTACTCCATGCTGTATTTATTTATTTAGCAAAGTTAGACATTGCCCATCTCACTATCCAAGTGGCTCAGTCTGTCTTCTAAGGACATGTTCTCAAAGTACCCTTTTGTGAGCATTTTCTAACTTGTCTATATCTTTCTAGAAATGTAGTAATCATCCATTGTGTTTTTAAATTATAATTTAGAATAAGATTCTAATCTAAGAACAAAAAAATAAAACTCAAAGGTTTTCACATAAGTAAATAATATGAAATTTTGCATGATTTATTCTTCAATTCAGCAGAGCAAGATCTTTAGGGATGACATTTTACATGATATGAATTCTGAAAAAAAGGATTGCTATAAAAACAAAACATGTAATTTGTGATTTAATATACAAGTCTTTTTTCCATTGCCAGATGATGTGGAACTGCATGAATCTGGCTTAGAACCACCAAATATAAATTAAAAAAAAACACAAGCATTTTTTGTAGGATTGTGCATTCGATAAGCCGTTGGTGTTCCATTTTCTAATGATAGCATTTTAAAAAAACCACTTTTTTTCAACATTGGGACAAAATCAGTGACATGCGGTCAGCTTTAGCCCTGGTGAGGCACTTTTTAGACTTGTGGNGGACTTAAAGTCCCCAAGGTTGAGAAACATTGCTCTAATTAATTTTTATGACCCATTAAGAATATTACTGAAATAATTCAAAGCTTTTTTTCCTAAATTATAGTCTGCAAGCTACCAAAATATAATTTATGGTGGAGATTTCACCTCAATTTAGGACTATCAGGAGATCTGAGAGACACGGATATCAACATGATTTAAGATTATATTTGCATTTGTTCTGCCTTGATGGATCAGTTTAGGGATTCTTCAATGTGTTCCATTGGAATCTCAGACCATGTTTTTAGTGACTACAACTGGGAAATGTAATAATTATAAATACTAGGTGGTACAAATAGTGCTTGTTTAGTGAGTGCCTTGGACAGCAACCATTCCCAATTATGATAGTGATGAAAAAGTAACTTGATCTTTGTAGTTATAGACAAAGAATTGGAATATCCAAAGTTTTTACGGGGTTCATGAATTAAGAAATGTAAAACATACTTTTTATAATTTAAAATTTAAATTAATTCATCAAAAATATTATGTTGTATTTATTGGACACTCAAAGAATATTTTAAAATGGATCAGGATGTAAGTTTGCTGTCTATTTTTCAAATTTTCCTTTGTCCTCAAATTAGATGAAGAAATATTTATATAGTCTAGATTTAATAATAAGTTTGAATTCATTTTATGCGCCTAGTTATTATATCAATCTTTTCCCCCTATGTTAATTAGCTTTTCTTTATCAAATTTTTAATGGTTATAATATATCTAGGGATTTCTTTTGTTCAATGAATCAACCAGTATCTTTTTTCTTGTTGGCATTATAGGAGTTTTTTGCATGTCAACATAAATTTAAAAAATAATTACATAAAAGCTGCATTCAAATTACGATAATTTATAAGTTTATATAACATAGCAGCAATCACAATTTTTGGGTAAGATGATACAGCAGTCTTTGGTTTAGTGTATATGAAAACAGCCTTTCTCCATCACCTAAACCTGGGAGATTGTAAGGCGGATTGCATAAAGGGAGCAAATGTGCATTCTATAAATTTTATACTTGTGTGCACATGTACAGTACATGCACACAAGCACACACACAAAGGATGAACACATGGCACTGCTCACTAAATGCTTACTATCAAGTCAGAATAAAAAGTAAGGGCAGTTTCCCTGAATAATATGGCCTGCAAAATGCTTTTTATGTCGCCCCCCCACCCCCACCCCCGAATACATTCTGCCTCTTAGGTCCCAAAAGGCAGATCTAACAGAATAAATCATTAGTAAATGGGTTCTGAATTGACTGGATTTGTCAATGCAGAAGCAGTCTTTTCTTAATATTACTCAAATGAATTAAACGGAGAAACGAGACAGATTAAAAAGGCATCTTTTCTGCAATTGCGGATAAGAGCAGGAGATTGTACATAGTATCATTTGCTCCACAAATAAAAGACATATCTGAACAAGTAAATCTATTCCTCACGTTTGCAATAAACAAAGCAAGGTATAAAAAGTATTCTGTTTAGTTTCACAAAAATCAACATACAACCACGTCATTATGAATGGGCATGTGAAATGATATTGTATGTATAGCCACATTGGAACGCCACTGGAGGAGGGAATTAATACACACTCGATGCTATGTCCAACATGGAAATAAGGGATCTCAAAAGAAAAAGTGCTAAGAACGAGCAGTTGTTAGCAGCCACTTCTGAGCTGGTTGCAAAAGAGACAATTATAGGTAGTCCTCGACTTATGACCACAATTAAGCCAAAAACCTCTGTTGCTAAGTAACATATTTGTTAAGTGAGTTTTGCTCCATTTTATGACCTATCTTGCCACAGTTGTTAAGTTAGTCACACTGTTGTTAAATGAATCTGGCTTTCCCATTGACTTTGCTCAGATGGTTACAAAATTTGATCACAGGACCCCAGCATACAGCAACCATCATAAATATGAATCAGATGCCAAGCATCTGAATTTTATCATATGACCATGGGGGTGCTGCAATGTTTGCAAGTATGAAGATTTCAAGATTTAATAAATTTAAATGCTGCCCAATCCCGAAGGACTCCGGGCGGCTTACATAAAACAATTCTAAAAGAATACTAAAAAATTTAAAATAGAGAGAGAACAAATTAAAAANTCCATCCTTCCAAGGTGGGTGAAATGAGGACCCGGACTGTGAGGGCAAGTTGCTGACTCAATTTGCTAAAAAATTTGTAAACCGCTTAGAGAGGGAAGCGGTATATAAGTCTAATTAATAAATAAATAAGAAAGATGGGGAGGGAGATTGGTTATTACAAAAATGCTTCATATCAATGCCTTGCAAGATACAAGATACTTGTAATTCAAACCTCAACTGTTTATTACTTAGGGCAGTACTTACATAATCAGGTTGTGATTCTTGTACATCCAAGCGGGCAGGAATCCCAGGTTTAAAAACATGCAGATAATTATATTTTCCAGGTAGAACACCACCTGTGAAAAACAATGTTATCAAGGCATGTAGATTATATAAAATCAGTAAACTTGTTATTCATTAGGCCTTTAAAGTACTTTGTTATTTTTTTAAAACCAATCCAGGGTGACTGGAAGAACAGATGAAACTTTGTTGCAATTTAATTGATGGTACGCACTGTGGTGGTTATACATGCTGGACTGACTTCAATCATTGTAATCTTTTTAAGAAATGCAAAAGGTAAATTCTGCTTTCTGTAAACAGCACAACTGAGAGGATCAGAATACTGGATGAACATTCAAGATCTTTTTAATAATGAAAAGGGATTACTGGATTCTCAGACCTACTTCATGCTTGAAATCTTTACTCACCGGAGCTGCCATGCAAATATGTTACCTGGAAAATATGACTGTATGACAAAGAAGTGAGGAAACGGATTTATCAGGCAAGTGGGACTGGTTATGATTTTCTAATGATTTCTTTTTCTATTTAACAACTGGTTTGATCATAAAAGTTTGCAAAATGTGAGAAATTGTTCTTTTTTTTTTATATCTTTATCTCTTTGGAAGCCAAAATGTGTAATGTGTCAGTCTTACAAAAACAAATATCCAACAATTATTTCAGGGGCTATTACTGAGTATTAAATACCCGGCATCTACAGCATTTCTTTCTGAGGAAAAATATTTTTTAAGTGTCTCTTTTTACGAGTTCTACTGCAACTGTTATCACTTCTTTTAAATCATTTTTCTCTAGTTTCTATTTGAAGAGAAAAGTAGCAGAAGGAAGAATGTGAGAAGAAGAGAGGAAATTATGTTCAACAAAATGATGGCCAAGTTTTGGCCAATTTTCTTTCATGTACTGTCCACAGTATGAGGCTTTCTGGGCTGCTTGCAGACCCTAAAACTAAGTGTAGTCCTTCTCTGAGCCTCCAAAACCTGTTTTCTATGATAAAATGAGAAAATCTATTTAAAACATTGGTGACAATCAAGTTAATTGTGTTTTAGATTGAATCAAATCAAAAATAGCTTTTGCTCAGGCTAGTGTTGAATTTGGAATATCGCCAAAACCAGAGCTAGTATTGGATTTTCTGGCACCTGAGGCAGTCACATTCTGGTACACCAATTGTTTGGCTCATCTTCCAATTTTGTTAGGAATTGCAAAAAAGACATTCCCTTGCTTCTTTTTGTTGTTCAAGTTTTTGAGCATTATACTTATTATTTTCTGCCTTGGACATTTTTTTTCTTTGACATTTTCAATTAACTTACACTGTGAAATTGTATTTAGTCCTTACAGTATATTTAACCTCTCTGGTTCACATAATGCACTGTTCCTACATTTTGCTTTTTTAAACTGTGTTTTTTTTNACTATGGAAGAGATGCATGGAAATACTGTAACCAACTGACACACTTTCTACAATTTGTAATGGAAGATGGGTTTTTTATTTTTATTTTTTATCTTTGTTTGTCTTTGTTTAAAAGCAAATAAAAATTGTTTTTAAAAAAGTTTCTTAGATATAAATGCAAATGATAAACCCACTTTTCAAAGTGATTTGGAAACATTGAGATTTAATGGTTTGTTCAAAGGAAGTGTTAGCAAAACAGCATTTCCTTATGCTCTAAAGTGGACCAACAAAGAGGATTTCTACTAGGGTTCTATGAATCAAAATCAGTTTGCATGCATATTCCCTAATTTACATTATCGCTAAAGTACACTACCCGAGACTTCTTAAAGAAATAGTCTTCATCATCAGGGCAGCTTCTGGAGGGTCAAAATTTCAAGAGGGTGTTGCATGATTGAAGCCTTGATCCCTGATCCTTTTTAACATTTGTTGCATATGTGGCATATGTAAAAAAGACACAGGGCTTTAACTGCACAAGCGTCACACTAACTATTCTGATCCATCCCTGAAGATATCTCACCATAATGATGTACTATGTTAAAAGAGATTTAATCACTGTGTCAACCAAAGATCCATATATTTTTGCTTGGTAGTATGCTGACTGAATGTCAATGACACATTCGTGTATTTAAAAACTTCAAGTATGTGTGGATTGAGGCTGCTGGATGCCTTTCCTCAACAGATGGACATCAAGCCACTGAGTCTGGAAACATCTCTTAGTTCAAGCATTCCAGAATAAAGAAAAAGTGCATGCACATTATTTTCTCATCCAAGCTTCTACTAGGAAAGGCAGCCAAGCAACTATTTTTAAAAACCAGCAACAGGCAGTTTGCTGCCGATAACCATCAATATAATACTAAAACAAAAATCTCTGCCCCACTCTCTTTTCTTTATATATTATTTTAATTTTCAAAAAATCAAGGACCGGCTGTCAGCAAAGCAAAACATTAGCTTCTATGGCATATTAGTATTTTTGGACAGGCCTTATCCAGCATAGTGAACAGGCAAATCTCCCACAACAATAATTTTGTAGTACATCTATCACAGGTGCTCAAAATCTGACACAGTACTAGCTCTCAGTCCCAAAGATTAGCCACATTTTAATTAATTTCTCTCTTTGAAAAATGTGTATCCCCCTATCAAGATTTCTGATAGTAGCTGATACAGTAGTATATTCAAATATACAGACTAGTAAAGTCACTAAGCTCTTCCTAACAATATTCTCCATGGACTCTCTGTTTACCTTTCAGGAACAAGTACCCATTACTGATGTTGCCTATGATCAGGACACGATGCTTCTTCAAAAGGGAAATCTGCCCCACATATCTGCATTATAATAGATTTCAAAAGCAAAATAATTTTTTTTCTTACCTATAGAGATTTGAGATCAGCCCCTCCCTCCAGCGAGAACAAAGATTATTAAGAAGACGTTCGTGTTGTCCAAATAAACATACGTAGTTGGAAACGGGAATAGGTTCCTTTGAAAAGCAAGTAATGGTTTCTATTTTGCTGTATTGGTTGACATGTATTCTGAAGTAAGTTCCCTTTACTGCATCTCCTGTTGTGATTGCCATCCCCTATAATAAATTGAGAAAACTGTTGGGACCACAGGCAAAGCTAGACCACATATCAATCTACCCACTCCAGGAAGACAACAAGAGCCGAGGTGGCGCGGTGGTTAGGGTGCAGTACTTCGGGCCACTTTAGCTGACTGTGATCTGCAGTTCAGTGGTTCTAATCTCACCGGCTCAAGGTCAACTCAGCCTTCCATCCTTCCAAGGTGGGTGAAATGAGGACCCNTGAATGAATGAATGAATGAATGAATGAATGGATGCCAGTTTGTTTTGTCATATTCTGTCTATACTATGGCTTCCTGATCTGGGTATAGGTTTCACATGAAGACAAGGAGATGTTCTGGAATTCCCATTTTTCCAAGCACTTTCCACAGCTTGACATGATTGATATGACTGAAGGCCTTTCTATAATTAATGAGCATGCATTCACTTATTTCTGGTAATCATTGGTTTTCTTAATTATCTAGTATGCATAAGTTCCTCAGCCTTTTCTGAAACTACATCTGACATTTCTATTTTCCTATTGGGCGAACCTAAGGATTATTTTGCTGTCATGAAAAAAAAAATGATACTTTTTTTTGGAAAGATTAAAAACCTTATATGGACTTTCTGTATAAAGAAGGAAATATTGAATTGATGGTTTAGGGATTTGGGGAATAAAAAGGGTGAAACGGAGGGAAGGGGAGAATTACAAAGTAAGAGAAAAAAAAGAGGAAGGAGAAAGCGTAAGATAGAAACTATGTGATAGAAAGCAGAGTAGAAATCTTATTTTCTTTTTTCTTTTTCTTTTCTTTTTCTTTTTATCTTTTTCCCATTTTTATAGTCTTTATTGTATTTTAAAATGCTATTTTTAAGAAAAAGAACACCTGGCATCTCCCTTTCCAAATATAGCTCAAATCTGCATTGGATAATTAGTTTGCTAGTATGTGAAGTTAGGGATATGTATGATAGCTAGCACACTCAACTCTTCTTTATTTGGTGCCGAGATGTGAATTTCTTTCAATTTATCTTCCATTGTCCGGATTTGCTGGCATAATTTGGTTACAACCAGTATTCATCCTGATTCTACTGCTTGCCATATTTTTCCACCTATTACATTACTTCCTAGACGTCCAGCCAGGTTACAACCATAGTATTGATCTTATTTCATTTTCTTCTACTAAAGGTTCTTGTAAGTAGTGAATATTATCTAACCCATCTTGGATATTTATTTATTTATTTATTACATTTATATGTCACCCTGACTCTGACATGTCTTCAGTTGTTTCTCAGCTCATGATCCAGCACTGTATCATAAATCATGCTATATTTTCCCTCCATATTATTTTCTTAGTAAATCACAGGAGTGGTTTAGCATTGCCTATTCTTATGTGGTATGAAATAATACCATTGCCATTGTTAATAAATCGATCATTTACTGCTGCCATCTTCCTATATTGCTACTGTCCTATATAGAGGCTGCTTATTTTAGCCAGGTGACTAGGATAGCATTTACACCTTGGGTGACATGCTGGAAATATGTATCATTGTTTGCTCATTGCTCCCAGGAATAACCCCACTATGATAAAACAGCGCAAAAGGATTTTGTGGATGGAGGATGAAATAATTTGAGTTTTTAAAATTAAAAATGGGTTTGGTGGTATTTACCAGTTCGACAGGAAGTTCTTCAGCTGGACAGACGTGGGAGATGTGAGCTCTGAAGGAGTCTCACATGAACCCTGTCTGACAAACCAACTCCGGGGGTCCTTTTTTGGATCAGAACCCCNAAAAGTCTTTTAAATTTTGCCAGCCCTCAAAAATTTGGCATCTCTAGGCTGGTGGCTACTTGGCCTTAACCTAAAGCAGGGGTTCCCAAACTTGGCAACTTTAAGACTTGTGGACTTCAACTCTCAGAATTCTCCAGCCAGCAGAGCTGGCTGGAGAATTCTGGGAGTTAAAGTCCACAAGTCTTAAAGTTGCCAAGTTTGGGAACCACTGGCCTAGAGCAATGATGGTGGAGCGTACATGTGCATGCGTGGCAGCAAATGCCAAAAAGGAGCACTTTGTGCACAAGGGTGCTCGTCTGGGCCACAACCAGGAAAAGGAGCTGTCCAGGGGGCATGTGCACACGGGAAAATGCACTTCTGATTTTCTGTGCGCACATGCATGCCACCTAGCCAGTCTTCCAGTTACTGCCAAGTAGCTCATGTGACTGGCCAGTGCGCATGGCCACACCGGAAAACAGAAGACCAGCTTTTCCAGTTTCTTGCACTGCCGCACGCACAAAAGCCAGCTGATTATTGCATGCATATGCACGCTGGAAACCCAGAAGAAGAACAGGAGACACCACATGTGCCAGGCGACATGACTCTGTGTGCCACTTCAGGAGACACCACATGTGCCATAGGTTCGCCATCACAGGCCTAGAGTGTCTTGGCCCCACTCAGAAAAAAAGATTACCTTTTAAGCTGCATTGAACCATTCATTTCCCAGTGCCTGGCTGGAGCTTTTAGCACCTTTTTAAAGTAATCTCTATCTGTTTAATCCTGGCAGCCAGAAAATGTGTTCTAATGGTCCTCTCTACCAGGAGAGGTAGAAGAGGTATCAGGGTTCTTATTAGCAGCTCCTCTATTTTGAAACAGTCGAGGTGAGGAGGCCCCTCAGACTCAAGGACTTCTGGAAGCAGTAAATATTTTCTTGTCTCTATATGCATGAGTGTGCTTATACAAATATGCACAAATTTACCCGTATCTATTTCCTATTTTTGTTGCAACTGAAGGTTTACTGTGTAATTTTATTTTATTGCTATTTTAATATTTGTAAACCTCCCAGAGTTCCTGAGGAATTTGCTGAAGAGGAGTTGGTGTGGATCAGAGGTGGGTTGCTCCCAGTTTGGCCCGGACCGAATAAACCGGTAGTAGCGGTGGTGGGAGGCTCCACCCACCTGCCCAGACGCTTCTTGCGCGTGAGAGAGAGAAAGCGCACCCGAACCGGTAGTAAAAAAAATTGGCAACCCACCACTGGTGTGGATGATGTCCTTTTGTTTCTACATGGTGTTTTTGGGGTGTTTGACTGACCAATGAGTTAGTGGGTGCAAAACTCTCTGTTATTGAGGGAGAAGCTGAGGAGGAAGGCACTTACTAGCTCTATAAACTTTTGGAAAGTCCTGAAGATACTCAAGATCTCTGAGACTTCTGCAGGTGACAGAGAGTTTGGAAAAGATCCCAAATAGCTGTGGAAGATGCAGAAGGTTGCTGATGGTACTCAATTATATTGAGGCTATCAATATATGAGTACCTGGATGCTATACAGATTTGTGCCATGTAACTGTGGCTATTTCCAGATATGGAGATATTTCATTCTGAACTTGAATGGGGTAGCACTCAGGCCTTTGGCAAGTAAGGAACCTCTCATTTCATCATACTTGCAATCTTTTATATTTTTGTTTTATGTTCCATTGATTTCATTGTCTTTTCTTTGTTATGAGCCGCCCAGTCATTGCAAGTTAGGTGACGTACAAGATTCATAAATTACAATGGTTCATCGTGCAGTCAGTGATGTTCAGACTGGATTTGACATTTTTATCCACCTATCAAGTCCTTCCCAAGGTCCTGGGTTAGGCAGATGTTGATTTTGGATAATGTTGAAGTTATCACTGCAGGATGAAAGCTGTTCCAAGTAAAGCTGGCTTTTGCAATGGACTGATTTTGTCAATGCTGATGGTGTTCAAGTAGTTTCCAGTTGTTTTGGCATTGCACCCAAGGCACCTATTACTATTGGTACTACCTTTGCTTTCTTTTGCCATAATTGCTCTATTTCTATTTGCAGACCATTGCATTTTGTTTTCTTCTCTTCTCTAGTTCTTTCTTTTCTGCTGTCTCCAGGTACTGCTACATCCACTGTCTAGACTTGTCATTTTTTATCAACAATTGTTAAGTCTGAGTTGTTATATGGCAAGTGCCTGTCTCTTTAATCCCAGAGCACTATTATACTTAAATACTTAAATAAATAAGCAAACAGAATAGGAAAAATTAAATTATTTTGCCAATGGGTAAATATTGTTATCTTTCTGAATTTCATATATCATGAATTGATTTTTTTTTACTTCAAAATAGTTTTGATATATCAAGGTGAAAGTTATACAAATGCAAGTTTATTAAAAATGAATGTATTTGGCTCACCTTTAATTTTGCATCCCTTGTACATAGGAATTAGTCTATCTAAATCTTCTGAAGGTTCAAAAACTGGCTCTAGAGTTGGATCAAAAAGATTCAGCATGGCTGCAGCAAGCTGAAAACCAATCTCTTTTGAGTTGAAATTGCTGTGTGTCCATTCATTAGCATAGTATATATTGGAAAATTTGGTTAAAGGACCTGCAGCCCTGATGCTCACATCATTAGTATGGAAGTTGGTATCAATCACAAGCCTCCCATCATAGACAAGGCATGCATCATTAACTGCTTTGAAAGTCTCATAATCCACTTTTTTTTTGGTAAAGTTAAAGAATGCCTAAAACAGTTGAAAGAAATAAAGTAAAGAATACTTTAGTAACTTTCTAGTCAATCATAGATAATTTCTTAATTAAATAATTAAGCTTAGTTTTTAGAATGTTTCATGTTCAAAGCAGATATGTATCCTTCCTATGTCACTATAATGCAGACAATAGTTAGAACACAAACAAAGTATATTGCTTGTAGGGCTTTGGATGCATTTGCAGGATAGTAGACAAAATATATTAAACTTACCGTTAGTAAATTTTCCACTAGCAAAGCACTGTATATTGTGTGGAGCATTGGTATAATTAAGACAAATAACCAAAGCTATTTCTTCCATCAATTAATGAAAGTCTCAACTGACCAAACCTATGATGAGTGGAAAAGGTCAAGATGAGCTGATGACAACCATGACAATGGAAGATTGTGACTTAAAATAATTAACAGTTGGAATTAATAAATTAAAGAAAATATGGTTGTCAAGGATGCAATAGATAAGTAGTATAAACTTGTGGAGTGGAATTGATGAATGTATTTATGGAAGAGAAGGTGTACGTGTAATTACAATGAGATGGTTTGATTTAGTTTAGTTTATTTGTTATTTGTATTTGTGTGCTGCCCTTCTCTGGGAGGGACTCAGGGCAGTGAACAACTCAGAAGGGGAAAGGGGGACACAAACACAATACACGTAATTAAAATACACAAGAGTCATACAGCCATACAAGTCGAGAGGGGAGGGGAACTCATCAACCCCAGGCCTGCCGGCACAGCCAGGTTTTGACGGCTTTCTGGAAGGCCTGGAGAGAGGTGAGGGTCCGAATCTCCGCGGGGAGTTCATTCCAAAGGGCCGGAGCTGCTACAGAGAAGGCCCCCCCCCGGGTGGTAGCCAGATGGCATTGGCTGGTAGACGGAACCCGGAGGAGGCCAACACTGTGTGATCTAACGGGTCTATGGGAGGTAATTGGCAGCAGACGGTCTCTCAACTCAATCTGGTTTAATCAGATGCCCATAATTCCAATGGAGTTTTTCAATTTCAAGAGGCTTAATTAGGTAAGTATTTG